ATGATCTATCGCGTCTAAGAGTGAACTTGAGATGAGAATACCTTCCAGTGCCGTTGAGAAACTCACCTAAGAGTGAACTTGAGATGTGGAACGTTTCTAAGTTCCAAAACACTCTCAAGCTCCTCTTAGGTGGTACCGCCACGTGGGTACGCGATAGGAGGTCTCCTCGTTGACTTCGTGAAGAGGTCCTCTTAACCTAGCATATTTCGAAAACGCGCGGTTCGAGCGTGCTGGTTTTAGGAGCCTGGTGGATCATATGAATCGCGACAATGAAAAAGAGTGGTTCCTTCGATTGCGACAGCATATTCCTGGAAAATTATCATTGAGCGACTAAAATAAACATGCTTCCAACGACCAAAAAAGATTTTTTCCGCCGTTATGATGACAGGGAGATTCGAACTCCCGCCCCGAAAGACCAGATAAAGTGATATCCGCGGATGCACCTGATTCTGGCGCCTTAGACCGCTCGGCCATGTCACCGTCACGCTGCCTACGAGCCATGGATTGAAGTTCGTCTGACCTTCGTGGATGTATGCTGTCGCTGGACTCAGAACGATGGCAAATGTGGGCGGACTGCGAAGTTGAGGCCTGATCGGAAGAGGCGATCTAGTGTGTTCGGTGGTCAGACCCGCGTGCGTTAGATAGTACCAGTAGAGAGACTTCGCAGTACTGCGCAGGTACTCCAGATGAGCAGTTTTGGCGTCGAAAGTAAAGCCAGTGACACGAGTATAGGCAATGCAGTCTTTGGTCGCCAGAAACACCAGTTAATCTCGAGTATGGCCGATGCCTAGACAACTAGAATCCTAAATCATTGGAGAAGCTCAGGACATGCAGTGTCCTGGCTCTCATAGTCAACAAAGCAGTAGGCTCATCTCCAGCGAGAGACATGACGACGCATAGGTTCAAAGCAGCTGCAGATCACGAGTCACACGTCACGATAACGATGCGGATAGCTTGGACTGCGAAGTTCCAGCGATACAATGAAGCATAAATCGGTGGAATTAAAGCGAGATTGGCTCCGTTACAAACGTAGAGAAGAACCTCTCGAAAAGGAAAGGTCTCATAAGGCAAGCAGAACGTACAGTGTAGGTTCGTCAAGGTACGAACACGATACACCCACATGAATCCACACGAGGATCCAAATTTTCCCCCAAAATTCGAAGACAGCTATGGCGTTCAGACTCTTGGCGGC